ATATATATGCTATATAAAGAATATATGATATATAATTAAATATATAATATATTTATATAACATACACACACACACACACACACACACACATATATATATATATATATATATATATATATATATATATATATATATATATATATATATATATATATATATATATATATATATATATATATATATATATATATATATTACTTGAGTAAGATCGACATTTCTAACTAGACGTTCCTCTAAATGGCATAGCACGTCAAGCTATATGACAGTTTCCGTGTGGGACAGAGGTTCGATTCCTGTCGGAGGATACGTATTTTCTATGAAAATTTCTCGGTCATTAATACCGTTTATTATGAAATCAGAACATTTACTTAAATATTTGTATATATATAAATAACGCATAACAATAAATATATTCAAATAATTGTCCATTTCGTTATATATATATATATATATATATGCAGAATGCTATAGATAAATTATGGTCTAAATTCCGCAAAAATGAAAATAACACTGATATAAATAGACTATGAGTATTGTTTTGTCCGTGTATTACTTAATAGATTGTACTGTAATTGTCATCTTTGATAATGGCTTATGTAAGCCGAAAGCTTAGATAGGATTTAAAAATATGTATCAATACTGTGATTTTCTTTCTTCTTTTAATAATGTTATTAAGTTTATCAGACTTTATGAAAAGCATTTACATAAAATAAACAGACAAAACTTGTTTATATTAGTTAAAGAGAGATGCATCAATGATAAGATGCTACCTAAATACACACACACACACACACATATATATATATATATATATATATATATATATATATATATATATATATTTAAAGATATTTTGTAGGTACAAAATTTAATGATCGAAATAAAAGTATAAAATTTAATATTACAAGACATATTAAACAATAAAAAATTAAAAAAACACAACAACGGGGTGAAGCAACCGTATATATATATATATATATATATATATATATATATATATATTTTTTTCTTTTTTTGCAAACAACGTGAGTGTTTGCTGGGACTCACTGTCATCTATCTCTCGTTCCTGCATATATATATATATATATATATATATATATATATATATATATATATATATATATATATATATATATATATATATATATTTCCACCAATTCGTTATTGTACATTTTTTCTGTATTAATTTTGAATCTCCCGTTGAAGCCTGAAGGCAGGAGCAAACCAATTGCTTCCCCAACCCCCGTTGCTGTGTTTTTTTTTTTTTTTGTTTAATATGTCTTTATAAAATATTATACTTTTATTTCGATATATATATATATATATATATATATATATATATATATATATATATATATATATAGAGAGAGAGAGAGAGAGAGAGAGAGAGAGAGAGAGAGATAGTGAGAGTTAAAGGTAGTTAATCCCACAGTATTTCCTATTATTATATAATATGTATTTGGTAAGTCCAAATGATCTAAGGTTTGCAAATGCAGGCCAGTAGATAAAATTAATACTGTTTAAGGAAAGAGATGTCTACTCCATCACGTGTATCCGCTTATAAACAGATAGATATGAACAGACTGAGATTGATCGAAAGGGAGGTATATAGATAGGAAAGGCATATAAACAGATAGATATGAAAAGAATGAGAAATGTTGCAAAACAAATAGACATATAGTCACATAGATATGGAATGCGACATAGATATGAATATATCGGGATAGATATATAAATATATGGCCTGCCTAAAAGTTTTTGTAGTGCTGCGTTATGTTACATATCAAATGCGCTACAATTCCTCTTTAAAGGTTTGGTGGAGGAATTCGCAATATCTTGGACAAGAGATTATCCTACAGTATAGGGATTCTAAGGATTCAAAAGTGTCGGCTGCAGGCATCGAAGTCCGCACTGGAAGGAAATCAAATGCACGGTGCAAACTAAGTATGTCGCTGGACAGGTTAAGGAAGGAGACTCGGGGACGGTGACAACAGGTCATGCTTGCTTGGGCGTCTTTACTTGCGTTCGATTCAAATAAACCAGCGGTAAGCAGAGACTGTAACTAATTTAGAAAGAAGTCCTACACAACGTTGAGGAAAAAAGAATATGCAAGATGATGGGACTAAGCTAGCAGGATACTTGGACACGATGGAAGAATTTTTTTCTTTTCTACGGTAGAAAATATGTTCGCCAGAGATCTGGCACTCTGAGGCACAGTCGGATTAAATTTCTTGTACAACCCGTGTATGATGTACTACAGAGTCCTGCAAACTTTTATTCTTCTGGTATGAGTGATACGCCATCATGCCCACTCAATGCCAGGAAAGGTACGCTGAAACATTCTAAACGCCTGTCCTAGGGCCCTTGGTAATGGGAGGTACGGATGGAGATAGGACCACGTAATTCAGAAATTGACCGAAGTGGCCGCAGGAATCAGCCTTAGCAGCTTAAAACCTGAAACGAAGGTGATTAATTTCTTCGAAGGTGTCGACTTACCCCGACTCAAATCGTCAACCTACATCGATTGGCTATTGAGGGAAGACCTCGGGAGTTATTTGAATTTCCCATAGCAGATAGCAACATCTTTCTTGCCCCTTTAATAGTCCGGGCAATTGTCTCTCGGCAATTCGTAATAATCGAACTTACGATACCTTGGGAAGGGAATTTGGAAAAAGGCTTTTGAAAGAAAGCGCGAAAAAAAAAAACAAAAACAGGAGCTGATAGATAAAGGCAGGTTCAACCAATGGCGGACTACCTGTCTTCCGACTGATGTCGGATGCCGGGGGTTTTGCAGAACCCTAAGTCGACTTGAATTGAGGGGAGAAAAAAAAAAGAGAAAGGCCATCAGAGCAATTTCAGAATCTGCTTCAAAATAGATTATGGATTAAAAGATTAGCGTTGAGGTGCTGTTTGAGTTTGTAGGATGAAATGAAAATAGAAAAAAAGATAATAATATACAAAGAGGTGAACCAGGTCGACGTTTGAGTGGAGAGTTGTTTTTTGTTTAATTTTCTTCCTCAACGACCCCTTGTCCTTCCCAGTGCTTGCAGTCGTTTTTAGCTGTCCCGCTAGATAAAGCGTTTCTCATCATAATTCCTACCATGATTTTGTTATTTTTTTAAAGTAAAATATTGTTTCATAGGGTATAGAATGTTTCCCGACGACAAGTATAATTTATTTACCTGTAATTTCAAGCGGTGTTCGTTGCGAGTGTGTATGCTTCAACTGGTTGGACCTAAGAAGGGAAAAGAGGAGCAAAAGGTGTGTTCTCCATTTGTCTCCTTTTGACTGAGAGTGACGTAAGTCGTTTCTCATTGGTCACTTTCAATTTCCAATCAGCACTCGCAGTTGTTTATATGAGCTGTTCGTTAAGGTGTGTTTGTTGGATTTTTCATTCAGGATCATCTATTGGAATAGGTATTGTTCCGGTAGGGAAAACAAATTTCAGTGCGAACTTTGTTCTCCCATCCACCCGGATATCCCTTTTATCAAAATAAAATGTTCAAGTACCATGGTAATGTAGTTTCAGAATATATATAATTATTGGGTCTATCTCCAAAACCCTAGGATGAGTTCGATAAACAGACATAGGCTACAACTTTGTAGATATATAGATGTATCCCATTACCTGATGACGTTTAGTAAAATGATCCGTTTTGCAAAATGATCCGTTTATCTGATAACGTAGTGTTTGATATGCACGCTGAAAAGGTTTTATCAAAATTGTCATTTTATTTTTTTACATACGAGAATAAGTCAACATTTATCTGCATTTTTGCCGTAACATATCTTTATTGTTATAACCATAGATATTTTTTTTATTTACCTCGTATATATATATATATATATATGATAAATATAGTCTTAAGGTGTGCTATATTTATGGGATAAAGTGCTCGATATCAGATATAGGCGTGTTAAATATAAAAGTGAACATAAAGTCAACACTTAGAGGCGACAGTCTGTTTTCATACTTATATGCAATCGCCACGCCACGTGTGCTCTTATTTTTCTCGACTATTTATACATATACGGGTCAGTGGTGCATTGTGGGTAGTCTATTATGGCGGTTATTTTACCGGAAGTAGTTTATTTAAAAATTTTGTTTATATCACTTATTTAATAGTTTTAAATATTAAAACTATTAAATAAGTGATATAAACAAATTTTTTATATAATCAATTTTATATATATATATATATATATATATATATACAGTGTGTGTGTGTGTGTGTGTGTGTGTGTGTGTGTGTGTGTGTGTCGATGGTCAAGCAAAGTCGAATGGGGCCTTTAAACATAGACTGTACACTAGTTTCCAGAAATAGATATATCTGCTCATTTTCATATCCTAACGTAAAACAAAGCAATTTCTAAAGAAATGGATGGATTTTTTTTTCTGTGTTAATCCGAGAGATTTTATTATTATTTAAACGTTATTTTATAAATCCCAACACATTTTTCTTAAGTTCAGTTTTGTATTTCCTTTTGAACTGAAGAAGCCGACATCAACAGACGTTCGTCGAAACGCGTCATTTATAAGTTTTCCGCTTTATCTCATCGTCTCCATATATGCATGTGCGTGCTTGTTTACTTATATGATTCTATTTATATCTACATACCCATCTGTCTCTCTCTCTCTCTCTCTCTCCATCTCTGTAGGGTCCTGTCACTGGATCTAACTAACGTCTTTATCCACTGTGCCATGTGTCCTTGAGAGTGTGAGTTCAATACCCGGTTAAGGCAGTGGAGAACTTTCAGAGGGGAATTAACAGGAAATAACTGATAATTGACATCCATTAAACATGGCACGTGGAACTAGAACAGTCTACCCCAGTGAGCGAAATAAAGGGTTCAGTTCGGCATTCCAACCACTTGAAGAAGGCCGGAGCGTACAACAGCCGAAACTTTGCGATAAAAATGGCGACAAAGATGAGGACAATAGTAGGTATAAATGTAAATAATTTGAATTTGGCTTATCAATTTTGAACACAGTCAGGTGGTCAAAATAACCATGTCATCCTTCTGAAGAAAATGATGAGAACAGATAATACATTTAGGGTTTACTCTCCCCGACCCCTACGGTGACGAGTTATGCACAAAGCCGGTTTAAAGTGGGGAGCCCAAGTCAAAAATTTGCCCGGCCCCTTCAATCCCTGGGGTCGATATTTCACCGAGCTTCCTTCTTTGGTGAATCGATGGGGATTTTGCCACATGTGTGAAGTACCCAAGACCAGACAAGCCTCATTTATTTATTGTGTTCTGTCCGACACACAATTCAGAAATAAAAATGTAGTTTTTCCAGCAGAGGTCAGATACTACACTTTGATCGCTGCCTGATGACTAAGGAATGAAGAAAAGCGAAACTCGAGTTGCATTAGCTGTTCGCTCAATGCATTCTGAATATTTCGAAAAAAGGGAACGGCTTAATATTGCCATTAACATTACGAAGCAATAACAACATGAATTTGAATTCGGCTAACCAACTTTGAGCTTAGTAAGCTGGTCAAAATTGTCATGTCGTTCTTCTGAAGAAAATGAGTGAAAATAAAATCTTAATGCAGACGTGATTCAATGAAAGCAAGTCGCGTCAGAATGGAAGAAATGCAGACGATAACGGAAACGCCAAACGTACCTGGCGTTGTTTTAATGATAATTTATTTCAACAGACAGTCTGGTTTTTGTTTAGTGCTCTAGAGACTTTCGTAATTATCCTTTTGTTTATATTTTAATGTTTCCTTTGCTTGAGTCAGCATTTTTCTCTCTCTCATTATTATGACAGCTTTTCCCATTGTCCCTTAAAGTCATACATAAATCATAGCCTCGCTTTCATGGACCGATCAACGTGTTTTATTTCATTTATCATGCTATTTTTTTTTTTCATAATTTTCTTTTTATTCTTTAAGTATATTTGTCTCTCTTTTTATCCATTTTTTTTATTCGGGTTCTTTCTTTATTTTCAACAGCTTTCTTTCTCTGCACTCTTTTTTTAAAAACTTTTTTTCATTTTTTTTTTGTTCCTTATTTTGTACTTTATCTGTCTATGGTATTCTTTCCTTCTCCCCTTGCATATATTTTATTGTTCTTTTTCGTTGCTTTGTGTAGAGTAGTTATTTTTTCTTTTTTCTTTCTTTCTTTCTTTCTGTCTTATTCATTTTCTTTCTCCTGTTGACAAATCTTGCTTTAACATATGTTCTCTTTCTTTTTTATTCTTTTTCCTTCTCATATTGACTTTTCATGTGTTAACTTACTTTCTCTTTCTTTCCACCTTTCTTTCTTTCTTTCCACCTTTCTTTCTTTCTGTCTTTCTTATTCTTTTTTCTTCTCATGCTGACTTTTCATATTTTAAATTATTTTCTTCTTTCTTTCTTTTTTCTTTCTTTCTTTCATTCTTTTTTCTTTCTTTCTGTTTTTCCTTCTCATGTTGTCTTTTCATGCTTTAACGTAATTTATCTTTCATTCATTCGTTCATTCATTCATTCATCCTGCCTTTCTTTCTTTATTTCTAATTGTTTTTCCTTCTTGTGTTGGCTTTTTATGCTTTAACGTATTTTACTTTTCATTCATTCATTCATTCTTTCTTTCTTTCTTTCTTTCTTTCTTTTTTTCTCATTGTTTTTCCTTCTCGTGTTGGCTTTTCATGCTTTGACGTATTTTATTTTTCACTAATTCTTTCTTTCTATTTTTTTTCCTTCTCATGTTGACGTTTCATATTTTAACGTATTTTATCTTTCATTCTTTCTTTCTTTTTAATTGTTCTTCCTTCTTATATTGACTTTCATGCTTTAATGTATTTTATCTTTCTTTCTTTCTTTCCTTCGTATTTTTTCATTCTCATCTTGACCTTTGATTCTTTAACTTATTTTTTCTTTCTTTCAATCATTCATTCTTTGTTTTTTTGCTTTGTTTATTTCGTAATATTCATTGTTCTTTTTTTCCACTATACTTTCTATTTTCATTCTTTCGTTCCTTTTATCTTTTGGCCTTTTTATTCAAATATCCTTTCTTTATTTTATTTTTCTTTTGTTGCTCATTCTTTTCTTATTCCTTTTCCTTCTCATGTTGTTATTTTTTCATTCGTTTTTTCTTTATTTGTGTGTTTTGTTTGTCAGTATTTTTCACAAATGCCTTTTTCACGCATTTATTTTTTGTGCTTATTCGTTCATTTATTCACTCATTCTTTCTTTCATTCATTCTTTTCTTCATCCGTTTTCATGGGTAGACATTTTCATATAAATATTTTTCTTTCGTTGTAGATCTTTCTCTGTTTATTCTTTCTTTCGAACTCCCGTTCATTCATTCTTTTGTTCTTTCGTTTATTTTTTTTTTCATCTTTTTTTGTAAATACCCTTTTTTTTCTGCGTTTTTAGCACTCATTCATTCATTCATTCATTCATTCATTAATACATTCTTTCTTTTTTCTTTCATTCATTCGTTCGTTCGTTTTGTCTTTCCATCATTTTTTTAAAATCATTCTTTTTCTGTTACTTTTTTTATGCTTATTTTTTTTTGTACGCTTTTTCCTTTGAATTTATGTCCACATTTTAAAAATGTTCATATTTCTTTCTTTGATTTTTTTTTTATTTCTATTTTTAATTGTATTAATTAATTTAGTCTGTGTATTTCTCGGAAATCCTCATAGGATTAATTGTGTGAGCATGTTTCAAATGTTTACACCTGAAAGAAGAGACTCTCTTTGAGAAGGTCACCGGAGAATTCCGGGCAGTCTTAGTTTACTCGTTTCAAGAATTGTTTGTAATATTTTCTTCAATGTTTTGGCTGTAAAGAATAACATAATGGGGAAACAGAATTGTGTAAATTCTGTAGAAAGAGGCGACATGAATTCCCACGATGCACGATTTTGGAGTTGGTCTATAGAATTTCTTATTTTCGCAGATTTATGGAATAAGCGAATAAAAAAAAAATAAAGGAAAGAGTTTCATAAAATGTGCAGATCTAGAATTCATTACTTGAAGTTTCTTGTAAAATTCTTCAAGTTAGTCTGACACAAGACTACAAGAGTTTGAAACCATGAATGTTTTGATGAAATTACTCCAGCGAAGATGCTACGTGACGCATTTGATTACTATTGTGTTCGGTTTCCTAAAAGCAACATTCTTTCATTTTCTACGCGTTTGGGTTCTGTGCCATTCTTTCCGCCGTCTGATAGAGCTTATTCTTCTATGTGCCGTATCCATTCCGGATGTTGGTGATGATGGCTCTCCACAATCTCCTGTACATTTTAGCTGTTAGAACAAAGCAGTTTCGTAGTAATAATTTGTAGCTTTTTAACACTGCAAAGGGTAAAGAAGAAAGAACGAAAGAATTGTCATGAAAAGTAAAAATGGCGGATAAGAAATAGGAAAAAAAGAAAGAAAAAAAGAAAGAAAGAAAGAAAGAAAGAAAGAAAGAAAACAAAGAAATTTTGTATGAAGCGAAAAACGCGTTGGAGGAGGAAAGAAAATTGTTTTAACAGTAGAAAGGAAAAATTGTCATTGACGCTACAAAGTGTAAAGAAAGAAAGAAAGAAAGAAAAAAAGAAAGAAAGAAAGGCAAAAAAAAAAAGAAAGAAAGAAAGAAAGAAAGAAAGAAAGACAAAAAGAAAGAAAGAAAAAAAGAAAGAAAGAAAAAAGAAAGAAATGTATGTAGCGACAAAACGCGGTAGGAAGGAAAGAAAGAATTGTCATCAACACTACAAAGTGTAAAGAATGAATAAAGAAAGAAAGAAAGAAAGAAAGAAAGAAAGAAAGAATTCTTATGACGATTCTTCTTCCTCTGTGTGCCGAGTCCATTTAGTAAGTTGGTGATCATGACTCTCCACAACTTCCTTTATGCGTTATTTTCCATTGCTCTTGCCTTTAATCTGTCCTGTGAGTATAAAATTTTCCAAGAAAATTTCTTTATTATGTGTCCGAGAAAATTTCAACTCTCTCGTCGTGATGTTATGAATAAGTGTTCGTTTGTTTCTATTTTCGGTGCATGGTATTCTCAGCATCCTTCTGTAGAACCACATTTCTGTTATTGTTTCAAGTCTCTTCTTTATCTGTGATGAGATTGTCTAGCATTCACTGCCATATAAGAGGACTGATTTTATTTAACAGTACAGTACTCTTTTCTTTATTTCTAACGATTTTTTTTCTGTTTCTTAATACATTGCTTCGCTTTTGGAAGGCATCTTTCTCTATCACAACGCATCTTCATATTTCAGTCTTGTACTTTTCCTACCCTGTCAGAAAAAAATTCCCAGATATTTAAATTGTTGTATTTTTTTTTATTTTGGCATATCCAATTTTCCAATTTGTATGTTGGTCTCTTCTTCCATGCATTCTGTCTTGCTGCAATTGAGGTTTTATCCTTTCATATCACTTTCTTTCGCTACCTTCTGCATAAATTTCTTTTCTGTATCTGCTATCAATATTGCCATCTGCATATCTTATGTTTTTAAGATTGTGGCCGCCAATAGTGAATCCTGGTAGGACCTAAATTTCTACATTTGCTTGAATTTAAAATCCCCGACACGTAACAAACTAATTGGGATATCTATCTTACTGATTCATCCGAAAATTAATGCTTACTTCTTTTTTTCTTGCTTTCATTGACTGTTCTGTTCAACAGGTTTTTTTTCAGCTCCCTTTCAATATAAATTAATGATAAATGCTGTTCAGTTTTATTCTGATTACGTATTTTCGCAAGTCACTCAAAAATTGACATAAGCGCAAAATTTGTGTTAATGAAGTTTTCCAAATTAAAGAGCTCTACAAAAGCCAAAGAATACGGAAGACTGGAGGCTTACAAATTAAAAACAATTCCTAAAATGAAGTAACAAATGTAACAGGATAATAAAAACATAGCCAAGGGGATGAAATAAAAGATGTTTTTTTTGCTTTTTTTTCTCTTCTGTAAAGTTAAATAAATGACTTCGTATATGTGAGTAAATTCTGGACAAATGCCTCAAAGATGCCGAATAGATTTAAACCAACAGAGATGAGGTTTATATCAACGAATGTTGAGAATACAATAGACAAAATATATAAGCATCGTTGACGTCTTAAGATAACTGGATCTACAAAGAAAACATGCAATCAGAAGGAGAGAGTTGAAATTTATTATATATATATATATATATATATATATATATATATAGTTTGATTGATGTGAGTTTGTGACCCTGGGTTTCACACTTTTGCGATCGTCAAAATCACATCAGTTAAACTATATATATATATATATATATATATATATATATATATATATATATATATATATATCATAAATTTCAACTCCCCCTTCTGATTGCATCAATTTTTAGAAAAAGAAAGACCCCAATGTGACGTTCATAAAAAGCCTGAAACCCAGGGTCACAAAGTCACATCAATCAAACTAAATATGTTAGCTCTATCACTGATATTGAGCGCTTTCCAATAAGTACCCTGCATATATAATATATAAATGATATATATATATATATATATATATATATATATATATATATATATATATATATATATATATATATATATAATATATAGAAAATAGGAAGGAACTGGTTGGGTAAATAATCCAAAACCCTTAGTATTTTAGTTATTATTTTTAAAAAAATAGTGCTCGATACAAAAGTGAGAGCATAAATATATAATTCTTTTTTGGAATCCCAAAAACATTTCGCTTGAAGATGGAACAGAGCTTATTTTAACTCAATTTAATTTAAATAATTTAAATAATTATATTGAAGTTTTCGGCTCTTGTTTTGAAACATGGGACTTCTTATGTCGCGATTTGGAATCATATTTTTAAATAATTAATTATATATATATATATATATATATATATATATATAATAAATTGCATGTATATATATATATATATATATATATATATATATATATAGAGAGAGAGAGAGAGAGAGAGATTTCACACACGCACACACACACACACACACGCATATATATATATGTATATATATATATATATATGAAAAACATAGTTTTAGGTTGTGTTTATATTTATGGGATGAGGTGTCCAATATCAGAAATAGAGTGTATGTAAATATAAAAGTGAACATTGAAGTCAACACTCAGAGGCATTGTGTGTTGACTTCAATGTTCACTGATATATATATATATATATATGTGTGTGTGTGTGTGTGTGTGTGTGTGTGTGTGTGTGTGTGTGTGTGTGTCTAAATGACGCCAAATGAACATAAGACTGACATTTCAGTTCTTTTGCCACAGCCGAGACGTGGCGTTTTCTCTGTCTTTCCTGTAAATATTTGCATGCCAATTGTTCTAATAAACTCTCCTCATGCGTAGTACTAGATTGGCAATTAGGTCTCATTGTTTTACAGGTGAAATAGGTTGCTGTAAAAACAAGTTCTATTGTAATATTTTTCTTTTCCTGGAAATTTTCACCAGTGTAACTATGTTCGGGGTTTCTTGCTTCCCGGCCACCTGCGATATTCAAAAATTTAAATGAGACTATCATCGCCATCTTTTTTTTTCTTCTTCTTTTACGTCTTCTTTCTCGTCGCTAATCTCTTCTCAATCTCTCTTATTCTCAGAGATAGATCAAGTCAAAGATGGAGTTCTGTTGTCATATATACGCCGCTTACCTTGAAAAAAAATCATTAGATATCCTGGCGTATGCTCAGAAGTGAAAAACGTATAGATTAAACTAATAAATTGAAAAAAAAAATAATAATAAAATTACGGATATTTTCCCGATTTTAATTACAATAAAATAATGGCACATGTCTAGCAATGATTTACATAAGCTGAAAGTTCTTTAAATATTATCGATACAGAAAATTCTTCAGTATGACTTCGAAGAAATCTAAAAACATCCGGTCTGTGATGATTTCTCCGTTTCTCTTAGGTCAGTGTCAATAAAATCACTCTGAATTCGTAACCATGACTTATTCCTGTTGCTAGTTTGTACTTATGGAATAGGTAAGCGGATTATCTTTACAGCATTTCAACAGAGAGGCAGAGGATTATCTTGAGGAAGACTGGAGGCTTATCATTTAAAAAATTACCTAAATGAAATAACGGATGTAACAAGTTAATAAAAAGATAGCCAAGGGGAAGTAATGAAAGATTTTTTGCCCTTTTTTTCTCTTCTGTAAAGCTGAATAAATGACTTTGGAAATGTAAGTGAATTCTGTAAAAAATACCACAAAGATGTCGAATAGACTTGAACCAACGGATATGTGATTATATCGACGAATGCTGAGAATACAATAGACAAAATATGTTAGTATCTTCAGCATGAACTACAAGAAAACTGATGCAATCAGAAAGAGGGAATTGAACTTTATGGTATATATATATATATATATATATATGTGTGTGTGTGTGTGTGTGTGTGTGTGTGTGTGTGTGTGTGTAAGCAAATATATGGATATAGATCCGACAGTATGAAGAAAAATATACTGAAAAAAAAAAATCCTAATATGCGATTATGCTGTTTTAATGTTTAATATCAACGTCGGACGTTTCGGTCTAATAGACCATCTTCAGGACATATCCATAAAACATAATTAACATAGACCATATACAATTCAACATGAAAAAGACGATGGACATGTTGAATTCTATATGTATAGAGAGTTGAACTATATGAATAAAATACAGAAGCTCCTGGGTTACGTGCGACTCGACTTACGGCGATTCGTGGTTACGGCGGCATCCTCCCATAATATAATACATCACCACGCGGTGCTATATGATGAAGCACGGGTCTGTTTTCTCGCAGGCTGTACGCCGTATTGGATTCTGCTACATTCGTTATTTCTCCATTGTGCTGTTTTTGTGTCCGGAGGGACATTTTGCCATTTATTATGGCAAAATAAACGTAAGTTAGACTCGTGGGTGCTTATGTAGGTGAGTTCCAACATATCTAAAAATCAGGTTACGTCGCACCGTAGGAACAGAACACTGACTTAAGTCGAGAACCCCCATTACAGACACACACACACACACACACACACACACACACACACACACACACACACATATACATATATATATATATATATATATATATATATATATATATATATATATATATATAATTAAGTTAAAAAAACTTGGGAATCTGTATGGGTAGTCCCAAGGAGGATGAAATCCTGAGGCGCAATGTAAATCAAGAGCTAATAATGATGATCCAGCGTCCCTTAAAAGGGTTTATGCTGAAATAAATTATTATAATGGAAACTTAAAGTGGTTCTGTTTGAAATAGGAAAGAGTATGTAAAAGGAGTGTCAGAAGTGCGTGGTGACTTTGTCTTATAGATCAAGTTCTACAGTTTGCTTATTGAGGCTGTATATATATATATATATATATATATATATATATATATATATATATATATATATATATGTACTAGCAGTTGGGCCCGGCATTGCCTGGGGATTTAACAGTAAAGAGATAGATCAAGTATCGACCATCATAAAGACTGAAAAATAAAATTGACAAAGATTATTGTTTAAGGTTGACGAACATGCATGTCTTAATTATTTTTTTTTTTTTTTTTACGGATTAGTCAAACTCAAACAAAAACATTCTTTTCAATCGTTATGAGTCTACCGATTGAATAGGGAATTTTATTATAAAAAATTGTCTTGTAAATGGAATTTTTAAAGCATTCTGAATGTAAAAATAAAAAAAAAAAGTGTGAAAAGACAATAAAACACTACCTGCCAAAAAGTGATGCTTTGTTGAAAATCGGTTGAAAAAATGTTAAATCGATCCAATATATAAACAACGTACACACACACACACACACACACACACACACACACACACACACACACACACACACACACACAATCTGCGTTTTATAATAAGTAAGATATATATATATATGAAAGTGAGCATCGAAGTCAACACTTACAGGAGACAGACTTTTTCATTCTAGACACAATCGTCAGACCACGAGTGTTCTATATATATATATATATATATATATATATATATATATATATATATATATAAAGAGATCTAGATAATTTAATACACATGTTATATTACAATCAATATAACCAACAACAGGAAACAGTGAACAACTTAATGAGTTTGCTTGACGGAATATGGGAAAAATATACTGGAAAAAGCTCATAGGATAGGAATTTTGGAAAGCCATGGCTGCTTACTTCTTCTAAGAGTCATGGAAGTCGAAAGGGGAGAACAATGATGTTACATAATGCAACGGAGAGTTGATTTCTTTTATTTGAATTTTTTCCTCATTTACCCCAATCAAGACAAGAAAGCAACTAAGACGCAAGTGTTTATTGAGCACTGGAGAATATCTAAAAAAAAAATAAACAGAAAAAATACTACCAAGAGAGAGAAGAAAGGGAAGCAAGAAGACGAAAGAGCGTTCCACAAGAGAGAAGTGCGATAGAAGAAACTATTAGCATAGAACTTACGGTTACATCTAGCTATTTGAACTGTAAAATAATAAAAACTTGCCGCTTATCTAGTACTAGTAATTCATCATGGTTAGCTACCGTTGATGATAGTTCATTAGAAGAATTGCCATTTATAGAAATCGTACAGTGATGCTAGACTACAGAGTTGGGAAAGTGGCTGAAGCCCTGATGTCACATCAGGACTAATATCTTCGCAAATCCTTGTTTCGATTTTATAAAGAATCTCTGAATATATAGCAGAAGCGAAAGACCAAATATGGTAGAAATATTCAAATCAAGGACGAATTATAGACTTATCAATATGTAAGTTAGTTTCTGGAGAGAAGGATTTTCATGCACAACAGCGGGAACTAACTTTCCAAGTAGCAGACCAAGCAATTGATTTAATATAATATTTGCATTTCAGCGGAAGGTGCAACGTGTTACGTTTCCGATTCAAAGACGGACCATTTAAAATGTGTCCTATAAGGGCCCTCCTTTAACTTCCTTATCTTTTCTTTTATAACCCTTTGAGACCTGACCACCGCTTTACCGGTGGTAGAGAAAAATAACGTAATGCCCAGCCAGCGGTTGATCAGTGGTAGAGAAAAATTACTTAATCTCCAGCTACCGGTTGAACGGTGGATAAACACTTGTAACTATCTACTGTGAAACATTACATCCCAATTATTTGTGAATATTGACTCAGGAGCTCAGGTAGAAAGTTTAACATTGTTTAGGGCTCAAAGGCTTAAGATAATCTTTACATCTTCAGCCAACTTTTTTTCACGTTTTGGTATCCATTCACTGAAGTTCGTTCATTTGCCATTCGTCATTGACTGCTGGGAGGGTTCTATTTTTAAAACCTCTTTTCTCATTATGCGAACCAATAGTTCCAGTTACGTCTGTAGATCGTAAGTATCAGCATTTTTTCCCCATAATCTTGTTGCTCAAATATTCTTTCCATATAATTCCCAGCATCCTCCAGAAGAACCTTATCTCTCTCTTCAATTCTGTTTTTCATCTGTAAAGTAAACGGCACTGAATTCATTGCCAATGAAGCAATATATTTGGCAATAATTTATTTTTCCATATCTTAATTGTTTTCTTATTTTCTGAAAGGCATTTTTGTTACTTCTCATCTATCTACAGATTTGAGTGCCACTTCGCATTTATCAATTCTCTCAAAGTAATTAAAAATCATACAAACGTCATACAATCAGACAGCATTATATATCCTTCGAAATCTTAGAGCAGAATATCTCGATTCACTCAGTCGGATTTACTTGGGGCCACGTAATCTTCAATAATACATATTGTTGTGGTAGGATCCACCTAATTTGCATAGTGGAGTACCGACCATATAAATATGGTTGGTACCGGGAAGAGAGGGAGGAATCAAGAGATTCAACCCGAGACTCTGCCCGACTGCGACTCAGTCAACACATTCTCCAGGAACGGTCCTACCAGGAATATACAAAAGACTATATGTAAATATTGTGTACACTTTCTTGTTTCAATACATTTTGTTCTAAGTACTTTTTGTGCTGCATTATTATTCCATGCATTAGTCAAGTTTCAACACATATGCCCGCTGAAGCTTTTAGCGTCTTGGTGTATTGTTTTTTTTTTTTGGATGGCTGAATTATTGCTTGTCCTTTTTCCAATGAGTCTGAGTTTGATACGCTCGTCCGTTGGTGGTATTGTGTAGGAGGGCTTCCCCGCTGCAACGAATGTCATCGGCTTATTCTAAAGGCAGACACAAACATATAAAAGGCATATAAAGGGTGTTCCAATAACTTAGACCGATTTTAGATGTAAATTAAATTTAAGCGTCTAATGATTTTTTTATTTCTTTTCCTTTCAGATTTAAATACTTAAGTCTTTGGTAATTTCATTTCTGGAAAGATTAACAATCAAACAACGTGTTAAATTTATCGAAGCAAGTTACAAAACTGGACGTTCAAACAGAAATGGAATGAGGAGTTCCCAGGTCGCATCATGTCTCAAAACGGCGAAGTCAGTTGGCCATCACGATCGTGCGACTTCACGTCTTTAGATTTCTTCCTTTGGGGGTTGTCTCAAAAGTAAGGTCTATGCCAACAAGCCAACAACAATTCAACAGCTGAAGGATGGGATAATAAGGCAAACTGATGAGATCGAGGTGCAAATACGCATAGACTTCATCAAAAATTTTGAACATCGAGCGGAGGTATGCCGCCGAAGCCTTGGCGGACATTTGGGCGATATTATTTTTCACACATAATTTTCAGGCCTTAAATAACATGATCAATAGAAATAAATAAAATTTCATTAATAACACTGATTTATTTACGAGCTGACTTTGATCCGTCTTAACGAAACACCCTTTGTATATATATATATATATATATATATATATATATATATATATATATATATATATATATATATATATATATGTATATATATATATATATATATATATGTATGTGTGTGTGTGTGTGTGTGTGTGTGTGTGTGTGTGTCTCAAGAAAGTTGTAGTGATGTATCAGCCTGCACAGTGAAAGCCTTACATAGCAAAATATCTGTGCACGCAATAAGGCATGGTTAATGACGTACTTTAACTTGATATCACTTTAACGAAAAATGATAGCTGAATCTGTGAAGACGCGTGGAGAATTCAAAGGGCCAGTAATTCATTTAGTGGGTTGGAACACCAATTATGAAGACAGCGTGTAATTTGAAAGAAAGCTCTTTGGTACCTCGACTTTAAGAATTTAAGCGCAGTACTAGATTGATATGAAATATTAAGAGTGTTGGGTCAGGCCGAGTTCTTTTCAACACATTTATCTATCTATCTATCTATCTATCGTTCAGTTTCTTCATTATCTATCTATCTATCTATCTATCTATCTATCTATCTATCGTTCAGTTTCTTCATTATCTATCTATCTATCTATCTATCTATCTATCTATCTATCTATCTATCTCAGTTTCAATGCCTGCTAGTCATCCACCAAATTGAAAACGAAGAGAACTAGAAAAATCCACCTCAAAAAGAAGTAGACTCCAAATATACCATCTCATCTACAACAGTATAAGGGGTCTACGTTTCAATTTGCCAGAAGTGAAACTCCATATTCTTAATTCTAAACCTGACCACCTGTTCTTGCCAGAAACGGGTATCTATGCCTCAATCCCATATAGGAGCTCACAATGCCGGGCTACTCACCTATTATAACAAAATACGGCCGCCTAAATTGCCACGATCAAGGACTCGGTTGTCTACATTTCCCTATGGCAGGGACACAAAAAAAAAAAAACGAGGACTCTGATCCTGATATATGCTTCCGCGTAGCATTCGTCCACATTACCACATCCGTCTTTACTCTATATCGTCCTCAGGATGAAGGGTCGGTAATCTTCGATCGAATATCTGAGAGGATTGACAATATCCTTAATGAATTTCCCTCGGCCAGATTTTATATATGCGGTGACTTCAATATTCATCGTAGTGGTTTGTCCACACTAACAAAACCGCCTACAAACTAAACCAGATAATTTATGAACCCACCCGAGTCCCTGATGCGACGCGACAGCATACGAACCTCCTCGAAATATTTTCCGACATCCTGCCCTGGCAAATGAATAGCAAAACTTTTAATCCTCATTATAACGTCACACAATTCCGTAGTCAGTGTCAAGATTGACTCCAAGGCAATGGGATTATCAGATTTATCCTTCCATAGAACGGTGTTTCGCTACGCGAAGTTAGACTGGGATAGCTTTCGGTCTTATATGAAAGAAAATCCTCTCCCAATATTCTTACCACGTTCTTTCCCAAAACTACTACCCTAGTCTCCTAATGGATTCTTTCGGGAATGGAATGTTTTATTACCCTCCAAAAAGAAAAAAACCATCAAAAACCAAGCAGTCAGACGTGGTTCACTCTGGAATACGGTGCAGCCATAGTTCGCTAGAACCACTACTTCAAAATCTTTCTTAAGGAACGGTGTAGTCAGGCCCTTACCTTTTTCAAAACCTCCCGCAATAACTGTAAGAGTTCACATCCATTGCGAACTTTCCAAGATCAAATACAAATTGGATCCGGAAGATCACCAACCAAATTATAAACAGCGCTGAATTGGTCGCGCCCACTATGAAAATGGCCACAAACTCTAAGTTAAATGACAAAGGCCATTCCTTCGCTAACTTTCCACTTCTCATTGAACACAGTCTCAGTAATATACTTATTTCAATATGAGAAGTCTCTAAACTTACGAAAAGCCTTGAGCCAAAAAAAAAAAAAAGTACTGGCCCAGTCAAAATTTCAGGGGTCGTCTTATCAACCCGGATTTATCCTCGATCCGAGCAAAGTTATTTAATCTCTGCTTGAAGGAGAAATATTTCCCAAACCTTTGGAAGGTGGCAAGTCTCCCAGGCCCTCAAGAAAGCCGACGACAGATTCTCATCCTCCCAGTATAAACCCATTAGTCCTCTCAGTATCATCAGTAATCTTTTTGAAGCCATTTTGAAGATCAACAAGAAGTTCGTCGGCTACCTGGGGAGGAACAACTTCTTGCGCAACGAGTAGTATGAGTTTCGACCAGCCCGATCCACTGCTGACGCTCTAACTACAGTTATATACATAATTAGCGAGGCCCTCGACGACACACATACCGTAAAGATCATAGCATTAGATATCTCGTAGACCTTTGGCAACATGTAGCACAAATGTTTGAAAGACAATCTCTCCAGCTATGGAACCTGTTATGGTCCGGTTCCTTGTACCACGGTGATAGTCCGAGGTAGAACCAATAAAGAAGAACTCGAATACGGACATGGAATAACACAGATATATTACAAACAGGAATATATACAGAGAAGTAGAAAGTGTTGTATGAATCAGGTTTTAGTAGTAATTGTCTGACCAGCGATTCAATGTCTTCTGAACCGCCTGACTCGACTGACTGACTCGCTCGCTCTGACTGACAGACTTCTGACTGAACTCTAGACTTCAGACGGGACGCTATTTAGTCACCCGCCCCACGGGGGCATCATGTGGCACAAGACCGGTTTAACGTGGGATCTCTGAGCCCGTGGGCTCGGCCAAAAATATGCCCTTTGAACCCGTATTAACGGGTTCAGGGTTGGTTTACCTCCCTGAAAGAGACTCCGCCCTTCGGCGTAGACTCGTTCGGGTTCCTCCGCGCCCGATGGCAGAGAGTTCAACCGATCAGCCGGTCGCCGGACTTCGGACAGGACTCCCTGCTTCCTCTTGAGGCGCAGTATTTATTACGTATGGAATAGTCCATTAATGTTATTATGGGTAAGGTCCCCTAACAGAGCCACTAGAAGGGTTTTCGTTATTATAAATTCTTCCTAACAGGTCTTCCCAGTCTTCAAGAAAGCCGACGACCGATTCTCGTCCTCCCAGTATAAACCCATTAGGAAGGTAGTCATTAACGGCCAGTCTTCCATTGGCTTCTGACATGGCCTCCAGAAGATATTGGAATCTCCTACATCTCTCCTGGATGGTCTCTTTGTTTCAGTTGGTGAATGTTGCCATAATTTTTGCCTTCATTTCATTTTTGGTATTACAAGGAATTTTGTTTGTCTCTCGTTTAACTGCATAATAATCAAGGGGTACCAGTCTGGGGAGTTAGGGGGCCAGATGGAACGGAAGATGTAATCGCAGAAATTGTCTGACAGTCATGACTTAGTTCTCCTGCTTGTGTAGCATGGTGCAGAGTCCTGCTTCTTGGCGTAGGGTCTTCCAGCAGCCACCCTCTTGACCCAGGGCAGCACTACCTTCTCAAGGCAATTGATGTAAGCCTCTTTATTGACTCTGAGGCCCGGAGGGATGATGAATGTATGCATAACGTCGCCATCACTAGTGATTATTCCAAACATCTTCGTAATCGCTATTAGATTTATCCAACTTATCCAAAAAAATTCCAGTGCCGTCCCTAACTATAGGAGACAGACAAAAGCAGCTATCCAGAAATGATCATCTTGTGTCGTAGGACATAAAAGACAACGCTTTAAGTTGAAATAAATTACATACAATACTACTGGGCTACTGAGATAAGATATGAATAGTAGGAATTATTCCATCTTATGAACATGCGTGTAAGGTGCCTTAGCAAGTCATTGAAGTTGAGCATTAACTTGATTTCTGACACTAAAATTATGGCTAAAATTTCTGCTGTAACAAAGATGAAGGATGTGTCGTTGAAGAGGCAGTTGACTCAAAGAGATTTCGCCAGACAGCTGGGTATTTCCAGAAGCAGTATTCAAAACACCCAAATCTGTCTATAACTCTGGGATAATTTTTAACTATTTACAGTATTCACATTGTTCGATCTGTTTTCCTCATCTTTATTGTTTATCACCTAAGAAAGCCAAAGCCTGAAGCGGTCGAAACGTCGTGAACATATAAAACTGTAAAAATGTACTACTACTAGACGTGTTTTAAGTGTAAAAAGAAAAAGAAAAAGTCGGAAGACTACAAAGATTTAAATAGGAAGATGAAAGAATGATTGTGAGAATCTCAGTAGATAATTCGAAATTAACAGCCGTACAAGTAAGGATTTAATGCTGTCTTGACTGTGGCACCATTTACCAAGGCAGAAAAAGAAAAGAAAGGAAAGGAGAGGCGAAGACCCAAAGCGTGGATGATAAGCAGAACACCACGGCTAAGAGACAATGGATAAAGGATATTTTGATAGGTAGCATGTGGCGAAAGAGTGTCATTACAATAGCAGGGAAATTCTGAGTGGATAAAGGAATCGGGTGTGTTCTAGCGTCGGGCTGTGTTATCTGGGATACATAAACAAACCGCTGGTGCGGGAAAGCATCTGATTAAGCAAACCCCAGACGACTAGCCAAAGAAAAGTCCAATTGAAAACGTTAATTTTGACAAAACACAGGTGAAACTACAGGGCTTTGGATAGATATGAAAAATTAATTGTGTCAAAAGCCGCAGAGAATGTGTCCACTGACCGATTTCTTTCGACGGAACATCTTTAGCCTGCGATAATAAATTTGTTATCAGAAATGTGTACCGAAAAAAAAATGAATGGGAACTTAGAAATGTTTCTTTTCGAGGCGACGTCTGGCCGTGTTAAAAAAACCACCCATTCTGATAATTAGCGATAAGATGACTGACGAAGCCCAGGTGAAGAACAAGAGTTATGACCATCATCGATCGTATTGTTCTGTTTGCGGCTAGAGAAAATGATAACTGCAATTAAAAGGAAGAAAAGGAAAAGAAAAAGATAATTTTTTTTTTAGTTAAGCAAGATATTTTTTTCCTGAAACAAAGCCGCGGAATCGTACACGCCCGACTAAGACATCATTGGTCGAGTGGTGATCACGTGACGCACGAAGGAGGCTGTCGCCGCCCATCTAGAGGATGGGTATGAGAAGTGGGGGGGCAGTTCACGCCCCTCTGAAGTATGGGTGAGAAGGTGGGAGGTAAGAGAAGGCTCCCAAAATGGAAAAAAGTGGAAAATTCCTAACCAGAAATAAAAGAGGTGGATATGTATTTAGAATTATCGAGGAACCCCCGGCGCCGACAAACCCACCCCGGTTTTGGTCGGCGTCCATATAAGCGAAGTCGCAGCGAGCGGAAATCAGTTTTCAGTTCAAGTTGAGTTCGAGTTGAGTTCCAGTTCAGTTCGAGAGAATTCCCGCCTCGCAGATAGCTGACCAAGATTCGCGCAAATTCCGGACTCCTCTTCAATCCAAGAACAATTAATTTGAAGAGCGACTTAGATCCAGACCACCGGTAAAGTTTTTTTTCGACTTTCGTCCGAAGACACACCGAAAAACCAATTTCTTAAAGAGCAAACAACTTGAAGTGTTAAAAAAACTCGCCTAACGGAAAACAACGTCACAATCCATAGAACGGGTCGGAAATAGACGCAGTCCTATGCATCCAACAACTAGACATAAAGTTTGTTATCCTTTTTTTGATACCTTGAATTTTGAGTTATCATTTTATTTTATTTTATGCATATTTGTGGGTAACACCCCGTTGAACCCGATTTGCATTACGGCCCCAACTACTGATTGATCTCGTCTGCCTAAGATCAATTCACAACGTGGGTAGGCAGACTGGGGATCAATGCAGTTACTTTGGTACCCAGGCGTTGGAAGCGAGTTAGGAACGACGAGGCTGATATCGAATCTAACCAGATTCCCATCCGAATCACCAAAAGGTTAGAACGTCAGACATTTGGGTGCCGCGACCGATACCAAGTCAGTTGGTCGTCACAGGACGAGACAACACGACTGACGCGACAGGCGGACGTCACGTTTGGAGCGGCGACACCCAGAACGGAGCAGCGAGGGTGGGAGCGAAGGTTGTGTTTGGGGACGTCGCAGCTGACGCCCGCGACCAAAGGACGTCACAGCTGGCGCTGCGCCAAGGACGTCAATAACGGTGAGGTCTCATTACTGTACGCAGAGTATTACGAAAATAAGATCGCGAACGGGCGCGTATAATGACCAAAAAAGGAAGAAAAAAAACATCATTAGTGTTTAAACGAGACGGGAATCGGGAGAGCACAAAAGTTAGACAAAAGGAATGAAAGAAAGTTTCTGATAGATTTTTGGTAGTCAATCCAAAAAGAAAAGCAATAGAAATTAGGATTTAATGCAGCCTTTCTGTTTATAGCGTACGGAAATTATGAAATTATTAAAACATTTACTTCATGCCATATTGACTGATAAACTCCTACAAAAATACAAAATAAAATAAAATTCTCAAAAAAAAAAAAAAATAACGCACTCCCTCAAATTTTCAGAAAAAATTCAACCTTAGCGTTGCGACTGAACGCTCCAAAGTCTTGTATCCGTTATTAATAACTGTTACAGTGGATCACACCTATTCTATAGTTAATAGACTCTCCCACCTATAATAAGTAGGAATAGTAAGAGTAACAAGTCGGTCGCTCAGTGGTTCGGTCAGTCAGTCGATGTCGGACGACCGTTAGTTGGATACGAAAGTACCAACGACCACCATTAGATTTCTCTGCTTCATTACCTATTATATCAAGTTCCTAACGTTTTGTACGTCGAACCTATCTTAGGACCGACTTAGTACAAATACAAGTCTCCACTGTGAAAGCATAACACACTTGACGACGAGGATTCGAACTCATACGGAGGAAGTAAAACTTTCGTTCGCCATAACAATAACACATTTCAAAGAAAACTTATTTCGATTCGCATTTAATATTTTCGTCTCGGATGCAACCTGAATTTTACCCAAAACAAAATATTTTCCATGCCTGAAGATGACTGAATGTACAGTTGAAAGTACTTGCGTATTAAAGAAAGACCTTATTCAGCTTATAATTTTAATAAACAAGAATTCATAACATTCATCGAGTGATTTGTAAGTTAATGCACCTTTAAAATTTTGTTTGCAAAGGGATTTCACCATTTTATATCCTTGACTTTACTAATCTAATTTTTTGTATGAATGATTCCTTGTAATATAAATTGAACTGCACCACATATTTTATATATATATATATATATATATATATATATATATATATATATATATATATATATATGTTCGACTTCTGATTAACTTCACACGACAATAACTTGACAAATATTTGGAGCTAGGACAAAGTTAGACACATTCCGAAATCCTGTAACTGTCTACTTTCAGACGAGATATAGCGCATATCCATTGGGAAATCTTTTTAAATTACAAAATATTCACTGGCGAGTCCAATCTGTGACTGTGGAACTGAGTTTTCCAATATCATTGGACCATAAAATACACGAAATGATAGCTCTCGCGTTGGTTCCCAAAACAATTGTTTCAAGAATCCAAGAGGTTCATAATTATTCGATTTTTGTGTTTTCACTATTATTCCCACTATACAAGGCTCAAGGGCCCCTTAAGGCAGAGGATTACTGAAGGAAGTTGTTGTGTGGGCGGCAAGAGTAAGAGGCGTAGTTTATGCGGATATTTGTGAAAGGTAATGGTAAACCCTAAACTTGGAAACGATAAGAATGTAATGGTCGGGAAAGCGTCCTCCTTGAATTCTGTTAAAAAAAGCAACAGTTATTGGGAAGAAGCTGTACGAATGGAAATGACTCCACACTAATGCAGTAAAAGGGGGGAATGTTTGTGGTTCCACTCAGTGAACCCGGTATGGCGAAGAGGGTTATTTTGGAGTAAATAAAGCATGTAGTCTATGCACAAATCATCCATCTCTCATCCTATCTATCTATCTATCTATCTCCGTTTGTTCATTATCTATTGATCTATCATATTTTCACTCTATCTATCTATCTATCTATCTATCATATTTTGTTCATTATCTATTGATCTATCATATTTTCATATCTATCTATCTATCTATCTACATCAGTTTGTTCATAATCTATTTATCTATTATATCTATCTATCTATCTATCTCAGTTTGTTCATTATCTATTTATCTCAGTTTGTTAATTATCTATATATCTATCATATGTTCATATCTATCTATCTATCTATCTATCTATCTATCTATCTATCTATCTCAGTTTGTTCATTATCTATTTATCTATCATATGTTCATATCCAAACTATTGCAGTAA